GGAATATCCAAGGAAAAATCTTTCATCTACTTTCTCATCAAACTTACCAGAACGATCATTTGAATTCTTGAGTATAAAGCATTTACAACCAAACACTCAAAAGTATGAAACACTGGGTTTTCTACCTTTGTAAAGCTCATAGGGGGTTTTGTCAAGAATATGCATCAGAAAATCTCTGTTAATAATATAGCAAGCTGTAGAAACTGCTTCTGCCCAAAATTGATAAGGAATCTTTCTTTCAATCAAAAGAGTTCTTGCCATTTCTTGCAAAGAACAATTTTTCCTTACTACAATACCATTCTATTCCGGTGTATAAGGAGTAGAAAAATTGTGTTGAAAGCCATTTTCCTCACAAAAATCTGAAAAGTTTTGATTTTCAAATTCTCCCCCATGATCAGTTTTGATGCTGGAAATGGTATAACCTTTTTAATTCTAAATTCTTTTTGCAAATTTTGAGAAGTATGAAAAGGCTTTATTTTTGTGAGCAAGAAAGAATACCCAAGTGAATTTGGTAAAATCATCAATAATGACTAAACAGTACTTCTTACCACCAATGCTTTGAGTTTTGGTTGGTCCAAACAGATCCATGTGTAAAAGCTGCAAAGCATGATTAGTAGAAACATGATGTATAGACTTAAAAGAACGTCTTACCTGTTTCCCTAAGGTACAAGCTGTGCATAATTCTGTTTTCTTATATTTGAGACTTGGAAGACCTCGAACAAGTTGTTTGTTTGAGATCTTTGAAATTTGCTTCATGCTGATGTGCCCCATTCTTCTATGCCATAAGTCTTCATCTTCCTTGATAGAAATCAAGCATTGAGTAGAATCAGACTTTACATCAAGAAGATATATATTACCATGTCGTCGTCCCATGAATATTTGAGAGCTGCCTTTGCTAGAGCCACAGCAAATGTTTTCTTGGAAGCTTATTTTAAAGCCTGTGTCACATAGTTGACTTATGCTGATCAGATTGTAATTGAGACATTTTATCAATGAGACATCATTGATAGTAAGTCCTCCAACTTCAACTGTTCCTTTTCCAACAATTTTTCCGTTGTTATTTCCTCTAAAGGAAATACTTCCTCCATTCAGACTTTGAAATTTGATAAACATACTTGGATCTCCTGTCATATGTCTTGAACAACCACTATCCAAGTACCATTTCCTTTTTCTTTTGCTAGTAACTTGCAAGAATTATATACATTCAAGCTTTCTTTGGTACCCAGATTTGTTTGGGTCCTTGAGAGTTAGTAGTATAGGTTGTTTTTACAAAGTTTCTCTGAATTGGTTTCCAGACCTTAGGACAATTCTTCTCAAAGTGCTGTGGATCTCCACATTTTGAGTACTTGAGAGCACCTCTACCAACAAGTTTTACGAAATTCCTTTGGAAGTGATTTTTGTAGGTTTGTCTAGGAGGTCTTTGCTTTAATCTCTCCTTGATTTTTGGAAAATCAATCAACTGATCACTTTCCTTAACAAATCCGAGAGCAGATTTGTTATAGTAAGGAATTTGTATAGAAAGGATATGTTTCAGCGTTTTTGAACCATTTGAAAATTTGGAAGTAATATAAAAAAACTTCCTTTTCAAAACAAAATTTTCTTCGGCAAGTAAATCTCGATTTTCCTTGATTTAATGAAATTCTTTTTGTAGAAAATCGATTTTGTCCTTTTGAAAAATATCTTTTTGCCTTAGCATTGAATTCTCCTTTTTTAGTTCAGAGATTCTCTTAAGAACAACCTTAAATTCCAAGCATAATTCATCAATGTAATTTGACACTTCAATTGGAATTTCAGGATACTTTACCTCGATTTCAACTTCAGTATTAGAATCTGAGTCTGAACTTGAGTCTGAGTCTAACTTGGCCATCAGACAAAAGTTTGAGATATCTTTATCACTTTCTTCACACTCTGTATCACTCCAGGTTTTTGCTTTCAAAGCTTTCTTTGCCTTTTCAAATTTGCTATTCTTTTACTTCAGAATTGGACAATTTGATTTGATGTGTCCACGCTTCTTGCAATAGAAGTAGATTACTTCTTTTGATTTTTCTGCATCATCAAGGATTCCTTTTTTCTCAAAAGGCTTCTTCCCTTTGAAGTTTCTTCCTTTCTTTTTCATCTTTTTGTACTTCTTTATGAAGAGAGCCAGTTCTTCATCATCAATACCCTCTTCTTCTGAATCTGCGTCATCAGAATCAATATTAGATTTTAAAGCAATTGACTTCTTACCTCTAGATTCATTCTCCTCATTCAGTTGTTCAATTTCATATGAATGAAGAGTTCCAATCAATTCATTTACTGATAGAGGCATGATCCTTTGAGTTTCTCGAAGTGAGGTTTTTATGTTATCTCATTCATTTGATAATCCTCTCAGAAGCTTGTTCACTTTCATTGCATCTGAGACTGGTTGTCCTTAATATGCAAGACCATTCACTATGTCAGTAAATCTGTCATATATATCAGCAACTGATTCTCCTGACTTCATTTTGAAGGATTCATATTGTCCAAGCAATAGATTGATCTGAGTTTCCTTGGCTCGATCCGTTCCTTCATATGTTGTATGGAGGGTGTCCCAGATGTCCTTTGCTGATTCACAAGAAGCAATTTTCTTATATTCAATAGGTGCCAAGGCACAATAAAATGAATAAATTGCTTTTGAATCTAAAGCTTCTCTTTTTGATATCTCAGCTTGAGATAATGGAGCTTCTTCTGGTTTGCTTCCATCTAGTTTTTCCTTTGAAGCAGATGCAGGTGTAGAGGACTTAGGATTGACTCCTCTGATGACAACATCCCACTGCATGTGATCAACTGATTTGATGAATGCCTTCATCTTGTTTTTCCAGACGCTGTATTCCTTGCCATCAAAATATGGTGGTCTGGTTATCCTTCAATGAGACCTAGAACACTTATGCTAGCCATAAGATCGTTAGCTTAGAAATAAAAAGCACTTCAATAAACGAGCAACCTTGCTCTGATACCAATTGATATAGCTAGCAGGTATCACCTAGAGGGGGGTGAATTGGTGATTAAAGTGAATTTGCAGAATTTAAAGCGGAAATGACTTTATAATCGGTAAAGTCTGAACAATAATCAGATTTTAAATGTTTTAGTGTGCAGTGTCAATAATATAACGAGAGATTAGAGATAAAGAGAACTGCACACAAGAAATTATAGTGATTCGGCTTAAATAAAGCCTACGTCTACTCTCCTACGCCGATAGCCTACTGGCTGGATTTCACTATATGATCAAAGGGATTACAAGATTTGAGTGATATCACTCGGTGAATGATAGAATTCTCTATCTCACACAATCACTTTTACAGAAAATCCCTCAAAATCTCAATATCTAGCTCAGGAAAGACAAGTAATAGAATCAGAATGTACTCAGATTTTGGACTTGTTGATTCTCGATTTCGTTCTATTCCTTCTGCTCCTCGTTGATCTTCTTTTATACTCATCCACTTCCAAACTAGCTGTTGGACAGTCTTCAGAGGATCATCTTCCAATCTTCACCTTGGACAGATTTGTATAAAATGGATTGAGTAGCCGTTGGTTGACAAAATCCGAATCCCATTGAATCTGGTCGCCCATACAACCATAATCTCGGTTTCCATAAGTAGAGTTTTATCCGTTGTGATATATACTTGTCATAATGTTTGATTGTCAATCAATTAGGCTTAGATTGAGTCAATCAAAACTTTCCTTTTGTGAAATCCACGCCAGATCATTAGCCGTTATGTTTCGTTCCGAATAAATTCTAAGTCTAAAGAATTTTTGGTTCTTGCTTTACATTCAGAAACTAAGTCAGCGTAGGTCTTCAGTAAAGTCTGAGTCCTTCAAAATTAGAGTCTGAAGATCTTTGACATCTTAATATGAAGTCTGAGTTTCTATCTCAGTAGGGTTTGAACTTCTCGTTCTGAGACTCGTTGAGTCTGAAGTTTTCGTTCTGAAACTTGTAGAGTCTGAATTTTTCCTTCTGAACCTCGTAAAGTCTGAGCGTCCAGAAAGTTAATTTCTTTTGAAGTATTAAAGTTGTCACTTCCAGAATATATTTACCTGGATCAAAATATTTTAGAGTACGTATTAGATTTACAAGATTAACATGAATAGTTTTGTCAACTACAAAATTAGGAAGTTTCTTGAACACAACAATCCATCCAAATTAATGATCACATACTAAGTTCTGTTGTGTTTTCTTTCAAACTTATGGATTTTGACACATAATCTTTAGTTTGGGAGAATGGGAATTGTCTTACATTGCAGCGGACTCCATTTTAGAAAGTACATGTTTGAGGCATGTAGACACTTTCCTTAAATTGATGCTATCCCCACTATGTTGCCTCCTAACCGGAGATCCCTAACGTATGGAAGTTTCCTAGTGTATTTCGACACCATTTTGCTGGCATGTAATTCATTCCTCAAGCAATCATTTTTTTCAATTCACATGCTCCCTCCACAACACAAGACACCCTTATAATTGACCGTATCATCACATTATAAAAAGAACGCGAAAACAAAAACAAAAGTTAGTTGGGAAGATTGAAAATGAGCTTATGTTGTCGTATCGATCCAGGTGTTTTAGTGGAATTGTCTTGCATAATCGCCGATTAAATCATTAAACAAGGTTATGTGGGGCAATTAGAAGGTAAGTGTAACATGGCGTTTTAGTGGAATTATATTGCATAATCGCAGATTAAATCATTAAACAAGGTCATTTGGGGCAATTAGAAGATAAGCGTAACATGGCCAACCTGTTAATCACGGTAACCCTTGTCGCGTGCGCGGCGGTGGCCTTGTGCTTTAGTTTACTGTAATATTGTGTGGGCTGACTAGATACATTGACCATGTTCTGTTTCATGTAATTATTATATCTGCCATATGGACACGTTTTAGGGTAAACAATATGGAACTCGACAACATGAATGAGATCATGCTGGCGAAAGAGAAGCCAAATGATTCAGTCCATGGTTTTACTGGCCAAAAGAAAAAGACCCACCACAAGATTCCCGGCAATTAATCTAAAGAGACGAAATATTCGAATAAAAAGAATAAATGACTTATACACAGACCATGAAGATAAGTCATCTCTATTATTGATTATGTGAGCTTAACAATTAATAATCGAGATGATAACGGTTTATGAATCCGTAGAAATGTGCATGCAATGACTTCTCTAGCATTACCATTAATGATGACATGCAATAGTATAACCAGATAAGCGGTCTTTTTACATCACAATACCATCGTTAGTAGACTTCTTGGCAATTCAAAAAGCTGTGATATATTCTACTCAATTTTTTTAGTAGTAGACCAAGCTGGAAAGTGATTCCTCGTGGATCGATCCTCTCCATTATTGAAGCCGGCGTGGAGAGAAAGCTTGTCCACCTGCTTTGTGTGAATGGTTAAACAAAAGAGGGAACACTCGATGTGATGCGCAATAACTAATTAATGGCATTACTAGGAATCAACCTTTTTCATGGACAAGTACTTATGCTAGTCTCCTATTACAGATATACATCAATGATGCAGCAGAAGAGGCTGTGCATAAGTTAAAAGCATTGTTGTTATCCGTCAGGTCGAATGATGATCCTATTCCTAAAAGTTACTCATTTCTGACCTGCTAATACACCCATGGGACGTACATCAATTAGCTGTTGTTATAGATTGATCAAGAGGAATCTAGCCCTAGCACTCTAAACAAAGGCTCCCTCTAACCATTCTCGGTTGATTCCATCCACATAGATCCAAACGAAAGCTAGTTATACAAATAATTCAGTAGAAAGGATAAATTAATTAGCTTTTAGAAAACTCCCCTTTTCTACCCAAAAGGGTCTGCTCGATCTCAGCTGCTCATGGACCATATATACCGTCCCTCCAAATTATTTAGTGAACGAATCAAAGCAAAATGTTTAGCATCCTTTACTTTATCATGGGTGCATGTGGTATAACTGTTTACTTATTGTCCCTATATGTAACACAGTTGTTAACTCAGGACATGACTGGAGTTGAATAAATGATTTCTTGATCGATAAAAGAGATTGCACGTGAAAAAAGAAGAAGAGAAAACTCGCATGGAGCTCTTGCAAAAGGGAATAATATGCACATGCTGAGGGCAGTACAATTATTCATCTCATGTTTATGTGTGTTTGCAGTTTTAAAATGTTAATACATAGAATGCAAGTAAGACAGAAGAAAAGTTGTTGATATGAAATTGTTGAAGTATATCACGCATCGCTTGATTATAGAGCTTATATGCTCTTTATATATATATATGTGTGTGTGTGTGTGTGTGATCTCCCTTCACTTATTATGTTAAACTTTTGGGTTGGACTTTCTAATACAGTATCAGATCTAAGTTCTGCCCCAGTTTATTTTGTGTGTGCATCTATCCTGTGCTATTCATAATTTAGCTTTCAAATAAGAGGAGATGTTGAAATATATCTCACTATATATGCTCTTTATATACATGTGATCTCTCTCCATTTATAAGTTCAAGTTTTTGGTTTAGACTATCTAATGAAAATAATGGATTTAGACGATGAAGTTTATGGTGTTGAGTAAATAAACTCGGACATGGAAAATACACCTCTATTGCTGTTGCACAAGATTAGAGTTCATAATATGTAGTTTCTACCCAATGGCCCGATGATTGTGAGAGAGTTCATGTGGGGAATTTCTCTTTCACGGATTGGGGTGCATCCAATTCATATCTCAGCCACAACTCATATTATGTGGACTCTATGTAAGACTTACGCAATATAACGAGTGAGAAGCCCCAATTAATACAACTTATGTGATATAAGTTGTATCAACTACGCATATGGGTTCTATGAGTATGCATGCCAGTGAGGGACATATTGACTACACCACACAACATGAATATAAGCGAAAGAGAGTAGGGCAAGAAACTAAACTGGTGGGAAAAAAAACAAAAAGCTTACCTCCTGGCACCATAACATACGCAATAGTCGATCGACACGTGTCTAAGTCGAGTCCTCATATAAATGAGAGTGGTAGGTCATTGAGAAACATAATGGATCGTGATAAAAGCAAGAGAAGAAGAGTCTGAAGAAGATCGAGACATCACTGCATTTAATCACACCAGAAACTAAGCAGCATATGTACATACCTTTGGGAGCATGGTACTGGAAAGTACTACTTTCCCTCACCCTCAATATTGGTCCTCAAGATCTTTTAGTTTAGTTTATTTATCATGGTTAGGTTAATGGTGAACAAACACCAAATTCAGGGTTTGTCATGAGGTTGACTTCAAGATTTATTGTCATGGAAACAAGACATAACCGGAAAGACAGGGAATTATTTGGAAAAACAAGAGAAAAAAGGGGTGGGGGAGTGGGGAGAAGATAATTTTCCGAATTGAAATGATATCTATATTGACTCAAAACATTTTTCTCCATGAGTAGCTTGATTTGTAAGACTTTTGATTTTGATACATTTGCTTCGATAATAGAAGTACTAATAGTTATGTGGTTAAAAAGAACGGATTATTTATTTCGTTTATAGAAATATTGATAAATTTCAAAAAAAATATTGATAAATATCAAGAAATTGTTAGTTAAAAGAATGATAAGTGACATTATTTTGCTCGAGATTATTGGTGAGATGACAAATTCCAGAAAAACGGATTACCATTCGTGTATGACAGAGGTAAAAGATTGAAGTGATGATGGTGAGCCCCAATATACATGGCCCGTTTAGCTTCCTTTTGACGCCAAGATCTTAAGAAAAGAATTTGACACTTGCGTCTTTGAGATTTGAGAATATATGGCTTTCAACACTCTCTTATTGTGGACGAAGAAATAGAAATATTCAGAATATATCTTTCATATCTTTCCTTTCGACCAAAATTTCAAGAGGAAATATGCATTGTCGCTCTTCAAGTTTCACCCACCTGCCTAATTTAGAACACCCAGCGCATCACATCAAGGATATTAAATGGGCTGGTCAAAATTCCAGTTCATGTGGGCTTACTAAAATGCTTCTAATATGCAAAATCATAATGTTTTTGTTATGGGGTTGGGTTTGATCCTTCATTTTCTTATACAATAAATAACTAATGGATTCGTTAAAGTTTAGGTGTCAACAATATCATATCCAAATACTTTACACATTTAAATTTTTTATTTAAAATTTTCCATGACAAGAACACTAGGAATGCTATAGCTTTCGTACGACGTTCATTTGAGTATTATAATTTTTTTTTCACTCACTTTAGTGCCATTAGCGATTTGCCTTGCCAGAAAATTTAACGTGGATGCCGATCGTCCGACGTGGTTTCGCCGACGCTAACGTGAATAATTTTTTAAATATTTTTTTTATTTTGTAATAATTTTTTATTTTTCTTTTCCATTTCTTTTGCCTTTTTTTCAAGGTCGACGAGGATCACCGGTGACCCTCGCCCTCGGCCACGAAGGCCCTAGGCACTGCGGGCAAGGCCGCGAAGGCCCTCGCTAGACTAGGCGACCACAGGAGAGGCGACCTCGCCCAAGGCCTTCACGGTCACACCAACCGAGGGCGAGGCCTTCGTAGCCAACGAGGGTCGTCAATGGCCCTAGCCGGCCTTGGAAAAAAAATGAAAAAGGAAAATAAAAAAATTCAAAAAAATACAAAAAAAACATTAAAAAAATCCACGTCAGATGGAAACCAATTAAAAAAACCACGTAGGATGATTTGTCGGAAATGATACTTTAATGATTGATTTTACTCCGATGTGACACTTAAGTGAGTGAAAAAAAGTTATGGTACTCAAGTTAGCTCGATACGAAAGTTCTGACACTCTTGCTGAACTCATCCCAAAATTTACGACATCAATAACGATGTGCTCTTTTTTCTAGCAATATAGAGATTTTAAATCAAACTTGAGTTAGCTTCAAATTTTTGTTAATTTTACCAACATCAGCATACTTGTTCAAATTTTTATGCTTATATATCTTATATACTAGAACATCCAAATTTGATTTAATCTTTATTTTTTATGGCCCAAAAAAATATTGTGATATTTAATCAGCAAAGATTGTTTTCGTTTTGTCGATGGGCAGTCAGCAACGATTGATTAGTATAAGTTTTTCTTCTTGGGTAAGAAGACTTGGATTTAGTAAAAAATTTGAGTAAAAGGCAAGATATCAATTAATTAAGTCAGATTATAGATCTGACCAAAACCCTACTTGAGCGAGCATCTTATGTGCAGACTTGGTCTCCGACAACCCTTGGCTGATTCATATGGATAAGGTCACTATGCTAAATAGCGGTCACTGTTCTATGTCTCGACGTTGACAAATTAATATGTCGAAATATGGAGAATATCAATTTTGGACAGACTAAGGTCCTTTTTTCATTAAATGATGTACGTTGCATTAAAACTTGGGAAAAATTTCTATTATATCCTGAAGCAGCATATATCCCAAGAGATTCCTCTTGATTTTTGGTAAACTCGATGCAGTCCAAAACAAACGGGTGTGCTGGCATTGCATAGTACTGCAACTTTTATGTTAGATATATACTAATTGAAAAAATACACGTGGCCTAAACTAATAACTGATTACTAGAAATTAGTTGTCAATTTTCATGATTTATGTACATTTGAGACATTTAGATGTGTCGAAAATATTGCGTTGATTATTGTAAAGTAATGATTAAGTGACGGTAGACAAGTTCTTATAATTAATAAATAGGTCGCTTTTTGCTAAGCAGATTGTATTGCGTGTCACTGTCATAAATATCCTAAAGAACAACGTTTGTTTGTGCACATAAATATGTTTGTCTTTCGGATCTAATCGTTGACTTGTTTGTCAATCGGTCAAGCTTCGGATTTTAGTTTGAATTTGAGTCGAGCAAGAGATTTATCTTTTGACACATGTTTATGATATGCCGCAATAACCGGTGGGAGTGATAACCCGTGAGATTTTTTAATGCCTTTTACCAAGAATACAAATTAATGGTAGGTGAGGATTCAACTTACATGTTATTGCATCGAAATTGTTTATAATTTTATATGTTCCACGAGATTTTTAGTGATGAGGCTAAACAAGAGTTTTTCAACACATTTTTCTAGGGGTCCCTAATAATTTTCTAAACAATGCATAGGAGAAGAGCGGGAAGTCTCGATAACCATGTTAAATTGTAAGTATCTGAAATAAACTGTAGTTCGTATAGATTGGACGAGATAATTTTGCATAATTAATTATCGTAATTATTTAAAAGTCAAGTTCACTAAGAAAAGTGAAACAAGTGGGAGGTTATTGAGTAGGAAGGGCCTGGGGGTGGAAGAAAGAGAGTTTTCTGAATTGAAACATTTGCCGATTGATAGGACGTTTGATTGTGATACACTTGCTGAGGTAATAAAAAAGTTATCCTATTTATTTGATTTAAAAGAACAATTATATATTACCTGCGCGGAAGTTTATGGATTCGTGTTAAGAAATACAGATTTCTTCCAAATAATTTATTGCTAACTTAACCGCACTTTTACGTATGTCGGCAACTTTTTTATAGCTTGCGGATTACCAATCTTTAGGCTAAATTACCATGTTTTATTTTGATAACTTACTAATGCATCCAATTTATTAATTTTATCATTAAATTACCGACTTAAATGAGAACGAATTATCAATTTTATGTCAGCAACCCAATAGATGTCAGGTGGCGACACATGACTGATGACATTCAAGTAGCACGTCGGATGCTGGCGCAGCGTTTGAAGAGAGTAGAACGCCACGTAAGGGTGACGTGGACAAATCACATGTTGACATGTGGCAAGAAGAGATACATCACTAGTTGATTGGCTCGGGCGCCATGCGTAGGGGTGGAGCACAGTTGCGATCGTGCCATCACACATGGGGCTTGGTCTTGATGTTGTGGATTACTTTATTTTCGTATATGTCGATCATGAAAATTGAATAAATTTATTACCTGATTGGAAAATCAGAGTAAAATGTACAGATTTTTTTTTTGGTCGAAAAGGAAACACATTTCATTAGAAACTAGAGCAAAGTTTGAAGTGTGTCTTTTTACTATACATTAGGGACTCTCCCATTATACAAAATGTCAATTCACATTGTCTGAATTTGTTCGATCGAGTGGGAGTCCCTAATGGAAGTGACATTTTCTACAATGTGATTATTCAATGGGGTTTTAAATACTTAATAGGAAAATTACCAAAAAAATATTAAATCAATTGCATTTGTGCTAATTAAATCTAAAACTTTTCAATTTTGCCAATTTAGTCCTAAACATCTTGAAAATTTACCAATTTACTTCTTCCGACTAAAATATTCGTCGAAAATCGCTGACATGGACGTCGCCCATCCTATATGGCATGGGCGGTGTTGACATAAACAATTTTTGTAATTTTTATGATTTTTATATTTTACTTTCTTTTTCTCTTCTGTTTTTTTTCTTCTTCCTTTGCCAGTCGCTAGGCTTTAGCAATGGCCAATGACCGACCATAGTCAACGACCGGTGAGGGTCGCCCTTGCTGAGATTTTATGAGGGCCAACCTTGTCGGCCTCGCTAGCTTTGGGCGATGCTCGACCTTGCTAGGATTCAGTGAGGGGCATTGAGAACCAGCAACCGGCCAAGGAAGAAGGTGAAAAAAAAAAGAAAGAAAATAAAATAAATAAATAAATATAGCAAAAATTGTCCACGTTAACACTAGATGTGCCACATAGGACAATCGGCATCCACACCAATGATTTCCTACTAAAATTGGCAAATTATCAAAAGTCTTATGACTAAATTGGTCAAATTGAAAGGTTTAGGATTAAATTTGCACAAGTGCAATATATTGGAAAATAACACAAATAGTCCATGAACTTTGGCCCAATGTGCATTTTGGTCCCTGAACTTTTAATTTTGTTCAATGTAGTCCCTAAACTTTAATCTAATGTAAAATGTGATCCTTGAACTTTTAATTTGTTCAATGTCATCCCTGAACTTTTGGTACATGTTCAATTCAGTCCCTGAACTACATGAAAATGTTCAATGCAGTCCTTTGCATTAATTCAAGCTCAGGGACTACATTGAACATTTTCATGTAGTTCAAGGACTGAATTGAACATGTATCAAAAGTTCAAAGATGGCATTGAACAAATTAAAAGTTCAGGGACCAAATTGCATATTAAGCCAAAATTCAGGGACTGTTTGTGTCATTATCCCGTAATGTATTTAGGACTTTTTTGCTAATTTCCCCTATATTTGATTATGGATGATGACCGGAATTGAAAAGACCTTTTGATTCTTTATCTTTGTATCTTATCAACATTATTAAGTTAAAATGCATACAAAATGATTGTGTGGTGTGCTGGGCATTGAAAAGTCATTTTATTGCAAAAGTACAATTGAGTCCTAAAACTTGTTAAATTGATATAATCAAGTTCTTTCCTTAACTCTGTTCACTTTGGTTAACAGAAACGGTGAAATGACTTTTTTTTTATTTTCTTAAACACGCTGCCCACCAAGCACCACATCTAAAAATAAAAAGAAAAAAATTTAAAAAAATTAAGGAGAAAACGAATGGGGAAATACGAACTTGCAAAAAACGAACTCTAACTGACAAGGATGAATTACGAATCTGCAATTTATAAAGCTATTCTTAATAGCAAGGTCGGATGTGTATGTCCACGAATAAGATCATCTGTTGCAAGACAAAGGTCCCCAACATTTCTAAAATATGAATTTTGTACATGTGAACTAATGATGGAATTTAGTGTTTCTTTTTGGGTATCTACTCAACCACTCCCCTCCAATTTGCAATATTTTTATGCCACCCTCTAAATGTATTCACACCTTGGTCACACTATAGTTGGAACCCTAAATGTTTATCTTCTGACAATGTCATTAGTTTGGACTGGAATTATCATAGATGGACCACATCTTTTGGCTACATAAGTGGATGTATTGTTATTAAAATGTAGCAAGTGATTATAATTAAATGACGTATGTATTTTATAGTTATTTGATTCTGTCCAACTGTAAAAGTAGGCAATATAATTTAATAAAGCACTTTTTATAGGCACTTCCTAATCGCATAAATTCCCAGAAACACATGCGCGCACTTTTAATTATTCTGTGACAATCGATATCATCTTAAAGTTAAGTGAGCAATTTTTTATAGAATAGTGAAAGAATTTACAAAGTTTTTTTTTTGTCGGAACAATTTACAAAGTTCATTGCTTATAGTTTGTCACATTGTTTAGCATACTAGTTTTATTGACCAACGTAAATTATACCATACCCTACTCTTATTTTTAGTAACTTAAATTTTAGAGAAGAAAGATCATAATACCGATATAATCATGCCGACAATCTTGTTCAAGAAGTAGATTAACCACGACAAATTCTAGCGGACAAAGCTCAATCCATAGTTCGAGATATGATGAGACCTTCATTAGACATAAGGTTCCAAAGAAAAGACAAAATTTGCACATGTGATTGATTATCTATCTCAAGTACATCTATTAGCCTAACATCGCAATCAAATTGAAGAATTCCTACAAAGATCTGATTAAAGATAGTGATTACTTTCAAATAATTTCTCGTGCCAACAATCGTCTTAATACATCTAAGATGATGTTCAACTTATCATTTTGTTGGACTGTGAATAATCATCGCAATTTCCTCTAGCTTTCTCTTTCAGCATAGAGAATATGATATGATCTCTTCATATCTCTTCCGTCAGCAGAAGAACCCCATAAGAAATATCATATTTCCAATGTCAATATGGCATCAAAAGTTGATTTATTTATGTCAACATCGCAAGTTGGCATCCATTTTTGGCTAATGACGTTGTCAACTACATGTGCTCTTTTACGCAGTAAATTGATTTATTTATGCCCATTGTTGTATTACAAATTTATTAAGAAAGGATAGTCAATGATCCTTTCAGTCAACATGGTTGAAAATTTCACCCCTATCGATGCACAAATGCATTTTGAATCACTTGTCGTACAAAAACTTTGTACATGCCGAAACAAATGTTAACATCGAAACTTATTTAATTGATCCAGAATTGCGAAATTCAATACACAATACAGATGATTTATTCCCATTGGGATGTCGATAGCCTTTTGCACTAGCAATGAACTCAAAGCAAACAACATCCGGATCAAGACACGGTACAAGGAGGCATGTCTTTGGGCGGCGGAAACACCTTCTGATGTTTTAACTTCCCGTCTCCGACGACGAGGACTGTGTCCATTCCCCAGCTCGCATGGCGTTCTAAATGACAGTGCATGAACCACACTCCTACAAGCACCCGTAAAAGAATAATCTATCAATTATGCATTCAAATACAAGTCTATATCCGTGCTAACTATATGTTTCTATGTGTTTCAACCGATGAAATTATAGTACCTGGATTATCGGCTTTGAATCTGATCGCTGTCCACCCATTTTTGGGGAGTCCGACAGTGTTAATATAGGGTGGATCCACCGTATTATAATCTGATACATAGGAGTCGCTGAAATTTCCATCGCCCATTCCGACGACATAAAAGCTATAGCCGTGTAAATGCATTGGGTGATTTTCTGCTGCTCCGAAATTGGTCCCTTGGAATCTTATTTCGACCTCCTCATTATAGTTAATCATCAACACGTCGGTAGTCACATTGGCAGCTTCCCCTAAGGCCGATACGTTCCCGGTGTAGTCGAAGACGAAAGGTGGTTCATCCGAAAATGTTTTGTTGTAGACTCCTTGTAGATTGCTGCACACACCACACAAACATGATGTTATAGAGACATTTAGATGTTGAATTATGCCTCCGCTTTAAGACAATGAAAGTTTTAACCAGTTAATTTGGTTCGATTTGAAGAATATTTCAGCCCGAATCAATTCTATCGGTCTGAGAAAGATATTCAATACTAAAATATAGGACCAAAATTGGTAGGTATTGCGATTTACGTACTTGTAGTATGCTTGGAGAATGCTAACCGACGGAGCCCAAAAACTTATGTTGTTCAAGCTTGCCGAATGCATAGTGCCATCTGGACCGGTACATGTTTTATTAGCAGGACATGGCTGCTGATTCACGGACACCGCGATCGTAATGTTCCTAGTGATTTTGGTCGGAACCGTGGACGGATGTTCTTTGTTGTTCAAACTCCTCAACCGGATAGTGAAGTTTCCGGCGTCGCTCTTGTTGGTAAAACCTGGAAGCTCGGGTAACACAGGAGTCTCCGAGTGGTTATAACTGCCATTGTATTGGAATATCCCCCTCGTGACGTTTTCATTGGACGGGGCATTGGTGTCCACGAATGGACTGAATACCATGTAGTAGCGACCGGGGGTTTGGTTTGCGGTGACCAAAACGTCCATCGTTTGACCAGGAGTTATCATAAGGTAATTGGTATTAAGCGGCTTTAGATAAGCTCCGTCCATTCCGACCACAGTGAGATTGTGCTTGGCTATACCGAAGAACATCTCTTCGTTCATCCCGGAGTGAATGATCCGGAAGAGATATGTTTTTCCTTGCACAACCGTTATATTGTACGCGGAACCTGCAAAAGGAAAGGAAAACGCCTTAGTAAATATTATTGATGGAGATCTTGAAATTACGCGTACTATATATCAATCACCACTAACTAGATTTAAGGAATAATAGTTTTGCAAGATCTCATTTCATTTATTATATAGGAGTAAGGTTTTATTTCATTAACTATAAATAAGACCTTTTCTTTGTAATATTAACAACATATATCACACTCATATACATACACTAGAATTAGTACCATTAGAGCATGAATAACTGTCCCCTGGTTGACCATTGATGGTATAGGCCACGGACAAGTCTGGATCTCCACCGGATGCAAGAGCCTCGTCGATTATGGCCTTTGTATCTCTAGCATACCATTCAGCTGCATTCCAAATTATAATTTTGTTAAGAAAAACAATACGAACTGTTATTTGTGCGGGTGCTAGTGACAAATTTATTTTTATCATTTAAGTTAGTTGAAAATACAATACCGATCACAATCGTGTGTTGTTTGTCAAACTTGTAAGGGAAGTTGGTGCCGTTGACAGGCAAAATGATTATAGGGCCATGTACAGTGGCACGTGTCCAGTCGCTGTGAGCGTGCCACCATAGCGTGCCTTCTTCTTCGGTGAGTACGACTTTTTGAAGGAAGCTTGAGTTCGTAGGGATCGGGCACTGCGTGATGTTCTCCGGGCCGTCAGACCAGGGATACCTTATTTGTCTCACTCCATGCCTACGCGTGTATACAATATTAGGAGAGAGAGAGAGAGAGAGAGAGAGAGAGAGAGAGAGAGAGAGAGATGTGGTTTTATTTTTACCAGTGAATGGTGACTCCATATGGTCCTATGTTGGTGACATTAACGTAAATAGTGTCGCCCTTGTGAGCACGAATCTCCGGCCCAGGAAATAGACCGTTCACGGTCAATACAGTCCGGTTCGTCTCGCACAACATCTTAATAGGTGTCTCCTTCACCTGCAACAAAAATTAACCTATAAATCTTGGACCATTATACACATGAAACAATCTCTCTTATTAAATTGATGCGGAATCGTTTCGGAGCATCATTATCTACGAATAACATTAATTAATTCAAAGGCCTCATCTGCACTTTCTCATGGAATAAAGACTCGAAATGGGGTTGGAAACCACCTCCCAAAAAAATAAGTAAATAAATCATACAACAGTAGACATTTTTAGATTACTACTGAACTCTCAAGAAGTTGAAATATCCAGGAAAATGCAAGCAGTTTGGTGTATGAATGCTCGAATACTCGGCCTCAAGCATAGTCCAACATTTAGATAGCTGAAGATTTAGATGCGAAGATCATTGGTGAACTCCAATGCATCTAAAAGTGTCTAAAACTTGCAACAAATGCGCTAGTAGCCGCTAAATGTTCTGCATAGCCCAAAAACGACGAACTTAAAGTGCTCAAGAAGGAGATGTTCCTACTCACCACGAAATGATAGTGGAGGACTTTGCCTTGAGCCATGCAAAAGAGCAGGGTCAGAGTGAACCCAAGCCCCAGAAATCTGCCCATCGTCTCTCCCTCTCCCTCTATCTTTCAACAAGACAAAACTGAACTTGTACCAATCACTTGATCCAGAACCAAAAGGGAGACTTGTGTTTCGCTCGGTCTCTTTCTTCCTGTGACCTTCACCTCCCATAGAAGGGGGCTTTTTATAGGAACTTCTTTTGATGTCTGGTGATCTCTGTCTGGGACGCTCTCTGTCTGGCCCCACATGAAAACGAAGTCGTCGTATTGCCCATCAAACAACGTGTCCTATGACACTACAGCAAATAAACTATTAAAGAAATAAAACGAGCATTTGTCTTTCAAAGGCTCGTGCTCATTTTGCCTGCGTTTCCACGAAGAAGAAGATTGGTTAAGGCACCGCGGAGGAAAGGGCTGATTAGCTTCTCTTGCCTTTTTTAGTCACACCGGCAAGAAAGAGAGAGGATTTAAAAACATCCATTTCTTTCCGCGCTCATCAACTGCATCAAGGCTGCTTACCGATTCTTGTTTTGTTCTTTTCTGGAGAACTATAGGCGTCGACGTTTTCGTGGAGGATTGCTCGTAAAAGAAGTTTCGCAGCCACCTCCCGTGTTGTTCTTCTTGGACACAAATCGACCAGTCCCATGATACCACGGTGAACAGAGCCACTGGAAGTCGAGAGATATCCGGTTCAGCAGAGAAAAATTGAATTTTTAAAAAGAAGAATCATAAGACAAAAAATGTTTTTACTTGTGAATCACCACATACAGCAAACAAAGACAAAGAATAACTCGTACAGAAGTCTAACTAATAATGTTCTGCTGGTGCTGTAGTCCAAAAGGCAAATTTGTGCCTTAAGTTGATGCTTTCTCTTGTTTAAAGAGCCTTTTCAGGGCATCTGTTTCGGTCAGGTTCAGCAATCAAACAACGAAACTTTCTTTTAAAATGTTTAAACTAAAGTTTTACCGATCGAACATTTCCCTAAAATGTACGACTGTCTTTTGAGAAACTCTTTTGACATGACCATCCTTGAAAGTGTGTAGATACTTTTTTTGCCAAAGAATGTGTAGATTATTGAAGTAAAAACACAGCACAAATATTACCATTCTCCCGAAAATGAAAAACATCAGAAAGAAAACTAAAAAAGAATCATCTTCAATGTTCTCCTCACTTTTAAAAAATAATGTTCTACTGGTGTGGATTACTTTCTTTTCTTCAAAAGAAGAAGATAATGAAAATTGCAAAAAATAGGAATTTAAAAGCAAGTTTGGTTTATAATTCCATCGTGAAATATTAACTTATAGACATGGCTACTTCTACCAATTTTCTATGAGATCTATATTGTAGGGTTTTACCTAGACAGAGCTGTCTCAATTCCTTCGCGAAACGGAAGCGTGTACGAAATCTCTCTTCTGATATTGCTCTTGACATATAAGCATGCAAGATCACACATGATTTGACTAATGGCACACGGTGTGGATCATTAATTTGACTAGGGATTAGTCGGTGCATCCGTGATTTGTTTCGCCAGTTGTACCAGCCCTACAACTTTATAATTTGCTAGGATCTACTTGATTGGACGAGATGCATGTGGTCAACTTTCTTTACAAAAATGAAAAGGACCCCCTGAGCTTCAATCACAAGCATTTTTCAACAAAACATGGTCTAAACATTGTCACGTAATATTAGCATCCATAAAACTTTCATGGAAAATCTCATCTAAAGGTATGAAGTGGGCCGTTTTCTCTGGAGAGGGACTGGAGTAAAACTTGTCTCATATAAGGTCCCGAGGTGTCCAACTTATTCTCAAATAAGGCTCGGCCAATCAAATCTTCACCGGCCGGTGAGCACCTGCAACTTTCTGTGGTGATGTCAGGGATATTTTCGTTCGGGGCCCTTTTTTTCTCATCTTCTTTGTTTTTTTCTGTCTTTGTTTCTTCTTCTTTTCACTCTTTTTCACTTCCTCCCGCACACTGGCTGAATTCCTTTGCGACCCCCGCCATGTCTTCGTCGGGGTCGGCATCAATGAGGATGTCGAGAAGCTGCTTATGACTACAGCCTCAGCGTCATCAACACAATGGTCCTGAGGGGCCGGTTGCGAGAGACCTGGGCTAGGAGGAGCTAAGGTGCGCTGGGTTGCAATGAAGCTTTCAGGGAAGAGACTTCGATTTCCTATTTTCCCTTCACACAGGAAATATTATCTATATGAAATGCCTACCATATACTTTTGTACATATGATAAAATTTTGATCTATAACAATTCTAAAGAGTCCTTAAGAAAGTAACCCGAGAAACTCAAACAATGAAAGAAAAGGAAATTTGTGTGATCCGAATAATTAATGCTTCAACAATGAACCTCGAGATGCCACATCCGCAATCCTTGAAAGTCATCTCTGGATATATTTTTTATTCTTACCATTTCTTTTATAATCTAATAGCATCGACGTGAAAGTCTAGCGGACCTTTTACCTGTGTAGGGGCCCTAATCTAGAATAATTTACATACAATTAGTGGGGTTCAAACATAATTAGTGGGATTTTCTGACAAAAAAAGCAATTAGTGAGATTCAAATAAGCAATGCACCCAATCAACTGAAAATTCTCGAGTTTTTACTTTTTGCTTAATTTAAATATTGCAACAGACATACTTTGCCTCTTTCTTATCCCAAAATATCTAAAACTCTCACAATATACGCATTTGACTCGTAAATTCACATATAATTTTTTTTCATGATTTTTTAAAATTGGGATAAAATTCTTAATTTTGACAGGATAACAAAAGGCTACTTTTAGCTTTTTGAAAAATGCAAACAAATAAAAAAAATTCCTTGAGAGGATGCCACATCAACAAATCTAAAAGTCAATGGTTCTTAGAGACTGGTCACCACGGCCTCTACGCCTCACCCGCAGAAACATTTATAAACCCCCGATTGCACAACATCAACAATCCATCCAAATGAATCATCACGTACTAAGCATTTGTATTTTCTCGTTTTCTTCCAAATTGACAAACTTCGACACATAATTATCAGTTTGGGAGGACGGAAATGTCTTACATTGCATCTAATAATATCTCCCTCGTTGAAGATACCGAATGCATACGATTTGAGGCGTGTAGACACTTTCCTTGAATTGATGTTATTCTTCCCACGATGTTGCCTCCAAAACCGGAGAAGATCCCGATCGCATGGAAGTTTCCTCGTGCATTTCGACACCATTTCGTGGGCATATGTAACTCACTCCTCCAGCAATCATTTTCTAATCGACATGTTCCCCGCACAACAGAAGACATCATTTCACACCTCAAGCGCCATGATTAGAACTTCATATTTTCCTCGGATCCATACACTGTTCCAGAGCACGAATGGATAACAATGGTGTACCTTTTTATTAATCAACGCGCCACGAAAAAATTTCAAAAGTGCCGTAAGACTAACGGAACTTATTATCATGGCGAAAAAGAAAAAGAAGATATATACACGGAGCTTATTTTCAATGCATATAATAATAAGACATCTTTATGATATAAACTAGAGTATACCATGGCGATTATATTAAACGTCTATATCATAACTTAGGAATGTGGATGAAAGATTATTCAAAGAATTAGTAGGGTCGGTAACGTAATCAAGAACCATGGGCCTCATAAAACGTGAGATTCTAATTAAGTGGTGAGGATATAATTCCTCGTGAATATAAAAAAGATAATTCCTCACAAATTTTTTAATTTTTGCGTGAAATTTTCAACTTTTAGCGGAACCAATGGAGTGGGTTGCTATTTTTTTAAGTATGAGAACGACACTGATGACCGTACTATCACTTGATAACAACAACACGAAGACAAAAGCAGAGTCCGTAGGAAAGACTGAAAATGAGCTCACGTTGTCGTATATTCAAGCTTGTTCTTGTGGAATTATCTTGCGTAATCGCAGATTAAATCATTAAACAAGGCCACGTGGGGGCAATTAGAAGATAAGCGTAACGTGGCCAACCTGTTAATCACTACAATACTAAATTAACTTGTGGCCTGCATGGAAGTGACCTTGTTCTTCAATTTATTATAATATTCCGTAGGCCGACTAGGTGCAGTTGATCAAGTTGTGTCTCATGTAATAATTATATCTGCTGTGCGACACGTTTTGGGGTAAATAATGTGGAACCTGACAACATGAATGAGATCATCCTGGTCAAAGAGAAGCCAATGATTCGGTCCAAGGTAGTGAAAAAAACCTATGACAATAAACGTCGCGTGAAAAAAACCGGATCCTAGAAGGCCAGATCAAACGTGGAAGCAACAGCCTTTCGGTTCAGGAAATGGAAGAACTAGGTAGTGAACCGGCTCTTTAGTCACAACACAACTAGGGTATTGCTCAAATTGGTGTGTAGGGATCAAATATTCCCACTCTTAGCTCTAGAAATTACGAGATATTGCATGACTTATAAACTAACTATGTAGACCGAGTCTATCTCTACCATTTATTATGCAGCTCCGCAATTAATGGTTGAAATGATATTGGTCCACGTGATCTGTAAAAACACGCGTGCAATGACTTCTCTGGCATCACCACCAATGATGGTGTGTAACATAATAACAAGATGAGCGTTAAAACGTTATCGTTCTTCATTGGATCGAGTGATGATTCTATTTATAGATGTTGCTCGTATTTGACCTGCTAATGCACGTATGGAACGTGCATCAATCATCTTGCTCAAAGATTTGATCAAGAGGAGTCTAGCTCTAGCACTCTAGGTAGAGGCTGGCTCTAACCATTTCCAGTTGATTCCAACCACATAGATGTAAACAAAAGTCATACAAATAGTTAAGTAAGAAATGATTATTTAATTTGTAAAAAATCTCCTTTATCTATCCAAAAGGATCTCCACGACATCAGCTGGTCATGGACCACCTCTTTCTTGGGTCAAATTTATTTAGTGCGCAAATCATGGCAAAATGTTTAGCATCCTTTACTTTACCGTGTGTCCACGTTGTGTATCTGTTTCTTCATTGTCCCGATTTGTCACGCAATTATTAATTAGGACGTGACTAGAGTTGAATAAATGATTTCTTCCCAGGCAAAAAGGGATTGCACATGGAGCTCTTGGGAAAAAGGAAAAAACAAATATGCTAAGGGCAGTAAAATTATAGTTTTTTTTTTTTTTGATGATCGGGAACCCCGCACGGCCGATAGCGGGAGTAAACCCCGGGCGACACGTCTGTATACCACCACGTGCACCAAGTTAGTCAGCCTGCGGCCGGGAATAAAATTATAGAGTTAATACCACAAAAAAATCTCAAATTGGTACACTTACGATAAATTTATCCCAAAAATTATATGATCTCGTCTTTATGCATGATGGCTATATTAAAATCTTAATACATAGGAAACGAGTAAAGAAAAAGGTTTGGTTTTGCCCAAGAAGAGTGACAAAGGAAAGGACGACAACACGAAATAATGGATTGGCATAGTGGAGTTTATCATAGTGCTTTTAGCATTGTGCGTGAACTGTAATTATTATATTCACCCCAAACGCATAAGACGTAGACCCACATGGCGGAAATGAAAAAACAGAGAACCATAAATTAATTGCATAAGCCTTTTGAATGATGTCGAATTCGATGATACCGCCAGGCTGTTGCTTTGGATGAAGATACTACCGAAGATTCTCATGCGAGGAGGAGTGTCGGCATGACCAAGCCATGAAAAGATGAGTTCGACAAAGTGACGCGTTAAGATTGAAAACAAATGAGCTGCATAAAGCTTAAGCTCTTGATAAAACCATGTGACATTTCATATTCGCATGTATTCTCTTCCCCTTTTCGAGTTTCAGAAGGTGACGAAAGGAATTACTTGACCATTGCCCAACATTTTTTTTCCGTAAAAAGCAGTTTACAAGCGGGAAAAAGCTTGATTTCACTCGCCCCGTGTGTCTATCGGTCTCCAAGTAGACTTGTTTACAAGCAGGAAAAAAGCTTGATTTCACTAGCCCCATTTGTCTATCGGTGTCCGAAGTAGGCTTGGCTCTTTTTATGAAACAGGGTGCATCCAATTCATATCTCACCCACACTTCATATTATGCGGACTCTATGTAAGACTTACGCAACATGACGAGTGAGAAGCCCTGGTGCACAATCGGGTAAATGCAATAATTGCTTGTATATTAACTGCGCATATGAGTTCTGAGTGTACACGCGCCAGTTAGGGACATATTGGTACACACCATACAACATGAATAAGTGAGATAGAGTAGCACAAGAAATTGAACTTGGGTAAAACAAGACAGAAAGCTTACCTCCTGGTACCATAACATTCAGTGCAGTCGTTTGATATGTGTTGACTCGAGACCTCTATGAGAGGGAGGTTATGGAGAAGCATAGGGTTGTCAAAATAACCCGGTCAAACACGATCTAACCCGATCCAACCCGAATCAAACAGAAAATTTTCGTATTGGGTCAGGTTGGGCCTTAATTTGTTTGGGTAACAGTAAAAACAAAGCATCAGCTTGTTTTGGATCTACCCGAAACAAGCCCCATCCGAAACAAACAAAAACTATTTGTTCTTCTTGCACCCAAGCCCACCCGAAACCCTATCTTCTTCTTCCGTTCCGACAAGAGTCTTCCTCTGAAACCATTTGTTCTCCTCCTCCTCTTCCTCCTTCTTCTTAAGCATCAACCTCGTCTTTGCTTCTGCTTCTGCTTCTTCTTCTTAGCTTCTCATGTGGGTTTCTTTTCCTTAGCACGATCACCTGCTTCGGAATCTCTCTCTCTCTATGGCTTTTGGGGTTTGATCTGGGATTTTATGTGGATGTGAGATGATTTGCCGTTTGAACAAATGGAGGAGGAAGAGGTTGTCATTCTGACCTTCGGTCGCGCAACGGCGCAGTCGCACTCTCAAACGCCTGACCTCCGGTCGCGCAACCCAGACCACTCGTGGAACCATCTCTTCCTCCAACTCCTTTGTGAAGCTCGCCAAGAGCTCCGAATCTGCAATCAGTTCACCTTCCAGGATGCTCTTGCCCTTCAACCTCTCGTCTCTGTTTCTGCCCAAGCTCGCTGCGACGTCTCCTCCCTCGAGCTCGAGCCAGAGCCAGAGCCTCTCTGCCTTGACCAGAAGATCCTTCTCTTGCAAGAGCCTCTCGGCGGCCCGACTCCTCCCCGATGTCCTTTTTGTCTTTAACTGATCTATCGCCTTTGGAATCCTCAGCCATATTTGGTTTATGATGCTTCTCCCTCAAGCTCTCTTCCCTCTCTTCTTCCAATTTCTTCACCTTCAACTGCAAGGACCTTTGTGCCGAAACAACAACAAAAAAAAAAAAGAAAAACGAAAAGAAGAAAACTTTTCTTCTCAGATCTGGTATTCATTTTCATCCCGACGATGACTTTTTTTTTAAAAAATTTGGTCTTTGAGAAAAGGAAAGGAAATACTGTAGAGACCGAGAGGCAGAGATTTACGGGATGGATACGTCATAGCGTTGGACCTCCTGCTGGAGCTCAGCAACGCGAAGCTTCCGAAGCTCTTCAAGCCAGGGGATATGGACCACTTTGTCCTCGGAGGAGGAGGGGGCGGCAACGGCGTCGTTGTCGTCGTCGTCGTCGAGGGTGGCGTTGGGGGAGGGATGGGGGAGAAGCGGCGCTTGAGGTCAAGGTACCAGAGACGACAGCTGTCGGGGTGGTGAGGGGGAAGGAGCTCCGGGATTGGACTTCCAAGGAGACGGAGTCCCAGGTGTGGAAGCCATGGCGCTTAACGGCGCAAGCGTGGAAAAAATTGACGAAGTCAATTAACACGAAACCCGACCCGACTTGACCCGTCTGTTTGGGTCTTGTTTCGGGTCGGACCAAACACATATGTTCATTATTTTGGGTTGGGTCGGGTATCATGAAAATCCGACTCGACCCATTGACACCCCTAGAGAAGCATGATGTGTCATGATAAAAGGCAAGGGAAGAAGAGAGTGAAGAAGATCTAGACTTCATTGCATTTAATCACCAACTAGAAGACCCAGCAGTACATGTACATTCCTTTGGGAGCATAAGATGTACTACATAGTACAGTGTACTTGCCCCCTCACCATCACTATGATTCGTCAAGATCTTTTAGTTTAGATTACTTATCATAGTTAGCAATTTCTAGAGTAAATGGGGAACAAACCCAGGATCGAGGGTTTGTCTTCTTGGTTGACTTCAAGAATTATCCTCCGATGGTCGTTTCTATTTTAGCAATTATTCTCCGATGCACAAAAATATTTCGCCATGGAAACATGAAATTACCAGAAAGAGTAATGGAACTATCTATTTTATGTGCAGAATTTTATTGTTCCAGCACAAAAAATATGAATTTTCATCCGAGGTAGTAAATTTCAATAAGTGCTGGTAAATGTCAAAGAATTATTTGTTAGAAAAACGAATTGTGATGTTTCTTTGACTTTTTTCCAAGTAACTTGTTGATAACTTATCCCAATTTTATTGAAATTACCAATTACTTTTGTAGTTTGCAAATTTCTAATTTTTGTACTAACTTATCAAATTACAAATTACATTTCTTGTCATTGTTGAACCCGTGACTCTGGAATGCTGCAATGAGTTCTCTTTTTGTTTAAGATGTAGATGGTAAAATAATTATGAATTGATTAATAGATGTTATATCCATTTGTGCATTTGCGGTTTCTTTAGCAGTGAATCATAAGAGATTATTACCATCTTTATTTGTGCATTTTCATGTTTATTTACATCGGTATGTCGTTCATACCAAACAATGGATATGATTAGATATGAAAGCTTCTATTTTATTACTGTGATTCACCAAACAATTGATAAGATATAGCAAAATCCCTGATTTCTTATCATATTCTATCAAGTCGTATCATGGCTAAAGATCCAGACAACGAAATGCAGCCTAATATTTAAGTACCAACCTAAAATAGGATAAACTACCAACTTTTGTCAGATTAAACTACCTTAAGTTATCATGTCTCGTTTGAGTTATATACCAATGTTTAATTGTTCTCTATAATATATGAACTTTTCTATTGAGTTATCAATTTTTCTTTTTGTCTTGGTTAGCAATCCCTTATATTAAAAATCTAGCTTGATGATGTAGGTTGTCGCCGAGACCTCTTCAACCTCAGTTCTAGGTCGATCTAAGGTGGACCACAACATACAGTCTCGATCCGGTCAAAGGCAAAAGTGCACGAGAGAGAGAGAGAGAGAGAGAGAGAGAGAGAATTTCGGGCATAGATGTGAGCTGGGGCGGAGGCAAGGGACGAGTGACGTATGATGACGGTAGAGTAAGAAGGCCGACGATAGCGAATTAGCTCCATACACACCCTAAAAAATTAGATGACAAAAGTACCATTGTTAGTCTATGACCCCTTTCTTTATCACTCGGCCCACAAAAGACTCGCCTCTCGGTTGCACGACACTGAATTTTATTGAGAGATGGAGAGACATGGGATAATTATAATCATATTAAACCAAATTTTGTGACGAAGGCAATTTGGTTAGTTAACATAAAAACAATGTGTTTTAGTCAAATAGTGTGTGAGATAGGGGCACCCTTATTTTGCAGAATTAAATGTTTGAAAATTTCAGGGGCACCCTTATTTTACAGAATTAAATGTTTAAAAATTTCTAACATCCATAAAGGTGTGCTCTTTTTGCTAGCTATATAGAGATTTTAAATCGAAATAGAGTTGTCTCTACTCAAAAATGCATATGGCAGTCGGACACCAACCTGCTTTGATCTCTGTTTAGCTTTAATTCCACTGACAACGGCAAACTTTTTCTAATTATAATGCCCATATACCTGTATAATAAGTATCCACCTCTGATTTATTTTTTATTTTTTATGGCCCCAAAAATTATATGATATTATAGTCAGCAACCATTTTTCTCTTTTTGTCGACGAGCAGTCAGCAAGTGGCTGGATCTAACTACTACGTAAAATAATATTTTCTTGGGTAAGATGACTTGGATTATTTTAGTACAAGTTTATATAGTAATTAAACAAGTCAGATCTATTCATGGCCCAAAAAATAGATCTAACTTGGTCTCTGATTAAGCTTGGCCGGTCCATATGGACAAGTGACACTATACTTAATATCGTCACTGATAAATGTTTTGGACAATGACAATTTTTTTTTTATCGAAACAATGACAAATTAAAATGTCGGAAATATGGAGACTATTGAATTTTAAACAGACTAAAGTCCTCTTGCATTGATGACGTACCTAAACCCTGATTTTCTTTTATGTTCAACCTTTTCCCAAGGAAACTATTCTATTATTTCCGGAAGCGGCACATATTTTGAGGGATTCCTTTTGTTTTTTTGGAAAACTCGATGCAGTCCAACATAGTTTAATGTGTGTTGACACCTAAATTTTGGCAACACAGTCAGTCGTTCGTTGCATAAAAAATTAAGGGTCGATCCCGGTCCCTAGACAAAAAATTAGATAAATTGCATATAGATTAGGAGCATTTGAATCAATAATTAGGCTCATATAATTGCATTTGTACTGGACCGGCGGTGAATGGACTTGAGTGAATGGTCTTGAATTTAAGTCCGTATGAACGAAAACTTGGTCAAGCCCACATTACCCTTTAGGCGACCGAATTTATAGTTTTTATATTATTTGCCAAGGTTCAGTCACATAATGAATAATTGGCAATAATCTTTGGGGTATATGTGCGTACATGGATTTTGGAAAATTCGGTCAAGATTATGGAATGTGCAAGAGGGAAATTGACCACCATTTACGAGGAAAGAATATTGACTCCCCTATAAAAGAAGACTCATCAGAGACAGAGAGATGGGGGGGGGGGGGGCGCTTCAGAATTCACAGCCAAACGAGAACGTGAGAAAGAGAGAATTGGCTCACAAAAGGAGACACCCACCTTCTCCACTGCGAGAGAAAGATAAAAAGAAAAGTCAAAGAAGAAGGGAAGTGAGAAGAGAACGAGCATCCTCCTTCGAGGTTTTCAATTGATGGAGCCGCCCTAGCAAGCCTTATGCTGTTGTCTTAGCTTTTGTTGACACCTATAATTAGTTAGGTGGTCGACAACTAAAGTAAATAAAATAATAGACGTCAAAGGATGACGTAACCTGTATGAGATGGTTCACGCAAGCAAAATAGCTGGCAAGCACTGATAGACATCGGCGGGATATTTGAAATTCAGAACTGGTGAGCGAGCGCCAAAAGTTATCAAAGGAAATTGTCATCGAGGCCATCAGCAAGGAGAAGGACAGGTGTCAAGCCGGGAAGAGCTCGACAAAGGTCCTTGCTTCGGAAGTACAGGTGTCAAGCCATGAAGAGCTCGACGACGGTTTCTACTTCGAAAGGACAGGTGTCAGAACGAGAAGAGTTCAATAACGGTTATCGTCCCGGGAAAGACAGGTGTTAGAATAAGAAGAGCTCGATGACGGTTATCGTCCCGGGAAGGACAGGTGTCAGAATAAGAAGAGCTCGATGACGGTTATCATCCCGAGAAGGACAGATGTTAGAATAAGAAGAGTTCGATGATGTTATCATCCCGGGAAGGACAGATGCCAAAATGAAAAAAAGCTCGATGGTGGTTACTACCTCGAGAAGGACAGGTGTCAAGACGGTATGAATTCGACAACGATTACGACCTCGGATAAAAGATAAGATTGATAGCAGTTGGCAGACAGATCTCATTAGATGGACGGTGAAGATGAGATCAACGGTGGTTATCGAACACAATGAGAAAAATGGTTACCAAGTTCACATTATAAATAGCACTTGACTGCCAGAAGAAAGCTCCCCCCCTCCGCGAACACAAACCAAAATACTGTCTTTTTATCTTTACTTTCCAGTATCGCACTTTTAGTTTCCATAGCTATAGCTATTTATTTTCCAAGTCAGTAACTTTGTAATATCGTATCGATGAACTTCGAACACCGCCAATAATTGGACGGGTTCATCTGAATCCTTATAAATACAAGTTAAATTTCGTCATTGTACGAAACTAGTGTTATCAATCAAGACAATCAGATTCTTTGTTCATGCCTAGAACACTCCTATCTTGAATTAGACCTAGAACCCAGTTTCATCTAATAAAAAATCGAAGAACGACTTTTGGTGAATTATCTTTCGTCATGGGAACCATTTCCGGTGAAACATAATTTTGGCATGCCTAGTGAGACCTGTTTGGTCAGTTGGAGGAGTAACGATGGCACGCACGAGGAGTCAAAGCCAATTGGATCAGAATAACAATGTTGCAGGGAGTAGCGCACCCCTGAATCCTACTGTGGAGCGGGTGACATAGGCGGAGTCGTCGAATGGATGAACAATGGTAGAATAAGGACAAGCAAGAGGGATGGATATTCCCAGGCACCTTACTGAAGAACAGAGAAAGCAATTGGAACCGAATCCGGTTATACTCCCTATTATGAGAAGAATCATGGAAGAACAGCATAATGATCTAGGCAATTTAGTCACTAGATATGTGGCTGATACAGTTAGGCCATTCATTATCAAGGCGGTCCCGGAGATTACTGGCAGGCAGAGCTCATCAATGAATTCTACCCAGCCACAAACTGTCCTTATTGTTCCTCCCGGCGTAGTTGGAAGTCTTGGACAACCCATTGCTATGCTCCCTAGTATGGGAACTGTAGGATAACTTGTACCTTTTGCGCCACTAAGGATTCTTCAGAGAGAAGAGAACACGTTGGTAAGTCAAGCGTATGGCCAAGTGGCGACAAGTGAAGTTCAAACAAATGCGGCTAATGCAAATTTGGTTCCTCAGCATACTGCTCTGCACCAGCCGTATGACAATGTGCTGTCAAGTGGTTTTGCTGCTCAACTTAATCTCCCTCAGACTTTGTTTAGGCCAAATGCTAATGTAGAGGTTCAGGGGAGGATTTTAATACCACCGCAGCTAGTACAACAGTATCAAGTTCTACAACCGTCATAGCCATTGCCATAAAACTCGGTTCCACAATATCCACAACCAATACCACAATATCCATTGCCGCAGCCAATACCACAACCGCCAGTACCCCAATACCAAATGCATCAACCTTTGCAACAGAACCTACCTCAAATGATGCCTCAGGTTGTGCAGGCGGCTCAAGCAGTCACACCACAAGTTATGATCCCACCACGACAAAATCAATATGCAGTTGATCCAGTACTACGACAACATGGTGGTGAAGCAAGAGATTTTAGGCAGGTATACAAAAAACCATACCCAAAATGCATGGATGCAGTTCCATACCCAAGAGGGTTTAAGATGCCAGAATTTAGCCTGTTTACTAGTGAGGATGATCAGTCGATATAGGAACACATCAATTGATTCACTGCTTTGTGTGGAGATGCTACATATGGAGATCATTGGAAGATGCGGCTATTTCCATTATCATTGTCTAAGACTACTTTTACCTAGTGCACATCTCTACCACCTCATTCTGTATTTTCTTGGGATAAAATGAAAACGATATTTCATAGTCAATTTCAAAGAGCTATGTCAGATATGTCTGTGACAAATTTATCGGCTATGAAACAATATAACAATGAGTCAGTCCATCAGTTTATGTTTCGATTTAGAAAGGCAAGGAATAGGTGTCTCGTACCATTACCTGAGAAGACGTTCGCTGAGTTTACATTTAATGGTTTAAAGTTTGGTATTAGAGAAAGAATGGTAGGACATGCTTATTTTGATCTGTTTTCATTAACCTCTATTGCTGTGAAACATGAAAACTTTTTGAAAGAGAAGGATCAAAAGCATGTTAAACATGAAGTGAATTTTGTCGATGAAACATTGGTTGACGAAAATGAGTCAAAATATGCTGAGGTGGTAGTGGCAAAGATGGTAATAGAAAAGCTACATGCGTTCCCTACACTGAAATCAGCTAAGGCGAAAGAGAAAGGAAGTGTTATGGTCAAATTGAAGGATGTGCAATATTATTCCTTGGACATAAATAAGGTCGATGAGATATTTGATTTGCTTTTGGCTGATGGGCAAATCAAACTTACTGAAGGATAAGTAATACCGAGTAAAGAAGAGTTGATAGAAAAGAAATACTGTAAATGGTATCACTCATGGAGTCATAATACAGTCAATTGCATTATGTTAAGAAAGAACATCCAGGAAGCAACTCGACAAGGGAAAGTCAGATTTATGGATGACAAAGAAAAGGCTCCCATGGAGGTAGATGTCGACCTATTCCTTGTGATGACTGGAATGGTGTCTTTAAAGTCTAAAGATAAAATGACACAATCACATTTGTGTGCTCGGTGTAAAGAGGAGATCAGTTATGGCCTAAAAAGAAGGCATTTCTTGACACGGGTTTTTTCACAAGAAAAACGTTTTTGGGATCGATTCATACACCAGAATTGTAACAGGATGGCCGGATACTGGAATCGACTCTGAATTGCTCAAAACGTTGATAAATGTTGGAATCAAAATCAAAATACCCAGGTTATCAACAATTCAAGACAATGCCCAATAAAATGGAAATCTTTCAAATAACGGTATGAAGAGGGCGACCCGAGAATTGGAACATTAGGAGAACTCAGCGGTAAATTCGATTATTATATTGACTATGGGCCACCTCCCGGACATTCAGAAAAAGGTAACTGTAACTGGATGGGGTGAGGAATTTGATGATCTGCATGAAAGAGAGGTTAAGGAGACCGTAACACCTCATCGTTCTAGGACTTTGAAAGTACCTATTGATCCACCAGAGGATGAATGGTTTGAATTAGGAGAAATTCAAGGTCCAGAGAGCAATGTAACAAGAACTCAAAAAAAGGAAGTTACAGAGAAAGAAGAAGATGCATGAATTACAAAGACAGGTTAATCAAATTCATATTACTCAGGTTTCACCAATCCCTTACAAACCTAAGAAATTCCGAATTAGGAATTTGGTATGGAGAATAAATCCGCGGAACTCCAGTCAGGATCAAAAGAATGACAACTAGAGAAATGCTAAAACCAATGAGAAAATAGAATTTAGCCCAGCTACGTTGTCGAGATCGGCCTCTCCTTTAAGTTCATGCATGGTCCAAGCTAGGCTCCCATTGCAATATAAAGTAACATCTATCAATTCGACAATTGACAGAGATTCCGTCGTCGACAGGAAAGACAAAGCTGAATTTCAATTTGATGATCAAGAGAAACTAATGGAGTTTGAGAAACCATCTTACGAAGGGTCCAAATACCTTAGGGCACTTAATATAAATGCCATGATAGATGGACATCTGGTTTCCAAGGTTCTTGTCAACAGAGGATCTACTCTTAATCTGGTTCCATATAGATTCTTCAAAAAGATGAGAAAAAAAGATAAAGAAATTATCTCATCGAATATTAGTTGTTAGATTTTATATGAGAAGTGACAGAGGTCAAAGGAATATTCGTGGCTGATCTGACTGTGGGATTGAAAACTTCTAGAACAGCGTGTTGTTGAGGCAGATGGATCATACAACTTATTGTTGGGGAGAGATTACATTCATGGAAATCAGTGTGTACCCTCGACCTTTCATCAGATGTTTGCTTTTCTGGAATAGGAGTTGAGTATGTTAAAACTAATAGTAAGGCTCATATATCTTGGGCATATGTCTTAAGAACCGACCGAGAGTTAAGAAAGATACCTAATGATAATTTGTGTAATCGAGTCACTTAGAATTGACTCAAGGAATGTCGCATTCTGCCGGTTTGACAAGGGAAATGTCCAATGGATTCTCAAAGCTGACTTGGTGGGATGTTTAGATAAGGTTGTCCATGGAGAACCTTACATTATTGGACGACTTCAATAAGAGGTATATGGCCTATACGGCCGAATTAGGTAAGCAAGATGTGGATATTGGCGATTGCATCATGGAATTTGAAGAATCACCCCTTAAAGAAGACGTTAAACTGGTTGAGGCTCGAGACCCATTAATAGAAGTTGACATTGGGGATTCTCAAAACCATCGACCAATTTTTATAAGTGCATTATTGAACGAGGTTACAAAGTCCCAGTTAATTGAGTTGTTAAGAAAATATAGGAACTGCTTTGAATGGGATTATCATGAAATTTCATAATTAGGCCGAGATGTGGTCGAGCACAAATTTCCAATCAAAAAAGGGTTTCGATCACATAAGAAACCACCAAGAAGATTTGCACCGGAAATTGTGCATAAAGTTAAAAAAGAGGTTGAACGTTTATTGACAGCTGGTTTTATTAGAATTGCAAGAAGTGTTGAGTGGCTATCTAATGTGGTACCGGTTAAAAAGAAGAATAGGAAGTTAAAGGTGTACATAGATTTTCGTGATTTAAATGCTGCAACCCCAATGGATGAGTATCAAATGCCAATGGCGAATATGTTGATCGATTCGGCATTTGGCAACAAGATCGTGTCGCTAATGGATGGTCATTTAGATTGTAATCAGATATTCATATCGGAAGAAGATGTTCATAAAACAGCATTCCGGTGCCTGGGAGCTATTGGGACATTTGAATGGTTGGTGATGCCGTTCGGATTAAAGAATGCCGAGGCAACATATCAGAGGGCCATAAACTTTATCTTCCACGATATGATTGGAGATTTCATGGAAATATATATTGACGGCATCATCATCAAATCGGACCAGGTAAGTCATCTAACTTATCTCGAACGTGCTTTTATAAGGATGCATAAGTTTAAATTGAAAATGAACCCTCTTAAATATGCTTTCGGGATAAAGGCTGGTAACTTTCTAGGGTTCTTGGTAAATCAAAGGAGGATAGAATTAGATAAGAACAAAACAAAAGCCATCCTAGAGTTGCCACCACCTTTAAGTAATAAACAGTTACAAATGATTATAAGTAAAATAAATTTTCTGTGACGATTTATTGCTAATTTGTCGGGTAAGATAGAGGTATTTTCTCCATTACTTAAGTTAAAAAACCAAGATCAATTTGTTTGGGAGAAAAAACATCAGCATGCTTTTGAGCAGATCAAAGAGTATCTGACCAATCCACCAGTTTTGATGCCACCTAAGCCAGGTAGGCCGTTGAAACTTTATTTGTCAGCAACTGATAATACTATTGGAAGTATATTGGCATAAGAAAATGACAACGGAAAAGAACGGGCAATATATTATCTTAGCCGAATGTTGAATAATACAGAAAAAAGATATACTCCGGTGAAAAAATTATGCTTGTCATTGTATTTTGCTTGTACAAAATTACACCATTACATATTGCTGACTACAGTTAAGGTAATTTGTAAAATGGATATTATTAAATATATGTTGACTCGTCCGATTATCAAAGTAAGAATTGCAAAATGGGCCTTTGCTTTGTCCGAAATACAATTGATGTATATACCACTTAAGACTGTTAAGGGATAGGCAGTTGTTGACTTTATCACGGAATTACCCATGTGTACATCTAGAAGAGGAGAACGTTGAGGGCTCAACACAAGTGGTACCGTGGACATTGTATTTCGATGGATCAAGTATGGCAACAACATCAGGTATTGGTATCTTGATTGTATCCCCTCAAGGACATCGAACTAAACTTATGTGCAAACTTGATTTTGATTATTCAAATAATTAGGCAGAGTACGAAGCATTGATTGTCGGCCTTAACATATTGTCTGATATGAAGGTTCGATTTGTA